CAAGGAGTCCTCATTGCCACTAATGGTTAGAACAAGATGAGGCTGTGCTTTGGAACATGGATAGGCGTTTTGTTTTGTTTGAGTATAATAAGCAAGAGCCTTCTGCAGGTGCCAAGGGCTGAGCAACAGAGCTGGGTCTGGGCAGCAGAGTCTGAGGCCTTTGAACACGGGTCCCCTGGCATGCCCTGATGCCACCAGGCTCCTGCCTTCACATCCCACCTGTGTAGCTGATTGGCACTGTCCTGCAGCCTGTCTCTCCCCCCGCCACCTGCCTCCTTAGGACCCGGATGTCGTAGGTGCTTCAGATGTGGGTGCTACTGCCAAGCCCCACCTCCCACTCCAGGCCTGCCCCTCCTGACTTTCCCATTACTGAACGTCACCATGCCACTCTCCTGGCTGCTCAGGACCCAAACCTGGGCAGTATCAGGGCCGTGTCCTCTCTCTGTCTCTTGCACCCTACATCTTGTCTAGCATCACCACACTCCTTTGGTCCCTTCCTCTAAATCCTGGGGCGCCTGCGTGACCCTGAGCCTGACTGTCCCCTTCACCCCTAAGGCTCACTGTCATCCAGGCGCAGCTAGAGGAGGGTCCAGGACCCACCTGGCTTCCTCCCCTGGGGTTGGGGTCCTGCTAACCCTCTGCCTGGACAGCCTAGTCCTGGGCTCTCACTGGCTGTCAGCTTCTTATTGTGGTCACTTCGAGCCCTTCCCCACAGTTCTTTTAGGAGACTTGTCATTTCCATGTGATAGCCTCTGGGACTCTGCACTGTGAATTCTCTGCCATGCCCCAGGGCCCAGGACAGCACCTGCTGAACAGGCACTTCCAGTACTTGCCCTGGGTGGGCAGTTGGATGCTCTGGGCTTGACCTGGGGACAGAGGGTAGAGGAGGGGGAAGGGCTGGGAGCCACAGCTGGCCCTAGGAGGTTCGAATATGAGTTCCCTCTGCAATGGTGGCTGCCAGCTGGAGCCTGGCACAGGTTCTGGTCACCATGCGCTGGCTCTGTCCTTGCTGCCCTCACACAATGCCCACCTCAAGGCTGGCCACGTGGCTGGAAGTATTTCACACAGGCAGTGGGGGTAACATGAACAATTCCCCTCTGGTGTCCCTCATTAGCCTGACCGGGAAGGGAGGTGGTGGTTCAGAAACTCCCTGTGAGCCGCCCGGCCAAGGGGTACGGCTGGGCCACCGCGCAGTCCCCAAGTCTCCCTGTCATGTGGAGATGGCCTTCAGAGGGCACTGTGGAGCAGCACTGGGCCAAGCACGCCAGCAAAGATCCATCTGACTGCCCCATGGGGCAGGACCCAGGCAGGAGCAGCTTCCCCTTATCATCACCAGGCACCCCTACCCCAGCGGGGTGTTGTGGCCAGATCTCTCCACCTCAGCCTTGCGACTCAGCCACGCAAGGTCTCCCTCCCTCCCCGCCAGGCTGCAGCAGTGTGGAGGCAGCTGTGGCTGGGGCCTCCGTCAGAGGTGAGGAAGTTTTTGACCAAAGCGGCCGCAGGCGGAGCAGGTAGATCAGGGTCTGCAGCAAGAATGGGGGCCAAGGGGGCCCTGGCATCGGACAGGAGGGGAGGAGCGGGGCCGGGACGAAGGGCCTGAGTTGGCATTTTCAGGTTTGCATTTGGAGACAATTAGGTGCTGAATTATTAAAGACGCCGCGGGCCAGAGGCTGTTTTTGAGGAGGCATGAGTAAGCAGGGCCATCTCACGGCAGCGCGCGGGATCGAAGCCGATCAATGGCGGCGTTGGCTGCCAAGAGGCGCTCGGCTTAGCAGTGGACGCGTGTGCCGGCCGACCCCTGCACGCACACCTCAGACCCCTGCTCGGCGGCTGGCACCCACCCACAGCTGGGTCACAGCTGGCAGCTGCTTAACTTCCCAGGACCTCAGAAGTTACATCTGAGAAATGGGTTGAGCATGTGTGCCTGGTGCCCACGTACAAACCCAAAGTGGCTGACACTCAGCCAATCCTGTCCTTTCAGTCCCGTGGAACCTGAGATGGCAGCAGATGCCTGGGCTCTGGTTTTTACCCAAGACCCCTGGCTTAGAGAAAATATAGAGTTTGCTGTCTCAAAAGTGGACCTGCAGTTCAGGTCCCTCCAAGCCTTTCTGGGTCCCCTGGGCTACAGTGAGTCCCGTTCCTCCGCTGCAGCCCACTTCTGGTCACTTGGAACTGCCCCAGGCTCCTGGCCACCCAGGCCTGCAGGGCAAGTCCAAGGGCTGGCAAAGGCTGGCGCCAAAAGGGAGGCTGACCTCTGGGTGTTCCTACGAAGTGTCAGCCCCGGGATCAAGGAGCTGCATGGGCCGAGCTGCTGCCCACCAAGATCAACGACAGACCTCTACGATCCTTCAGTCAAGGATTGAGAATGGGACTGCAAGAGGATGTGAAGCTGGTGAATGTACACACACGGATGCATACACAGATACACACATATACACACAAGCATACACAAGTCCACACATGTGCACTTGTACACACGTAACACACGTACACCACACACGTGTACATGCACACACCTGTATACCACGTGCACGCATGCACATACACTTGGTTACCCTTCCCAGCACAGACATAGCCCCCAGCTCTAGATCCGGGCCCTCCTCCTCTCCACCCCAGACCCTGAGCCTAAGAGGGCTTCACACAGTACAGGAAGGAACACTGTGCCCAGAGTCCCCAAGCCTGTAGCACCCAAACTGCTGCTGTTCTCTTTCCAGCTCTGTGCCGAGGACTCAGCGGGGTGCCTGAGGCCACAGTGGGCTCTGCCTCCTCTGTCGTTTCTCCCAGTCCCAGCAAAGCTTGCCAGAAGGTGCTGTGTGCGTTGGAGATCCCACCAGCGCTGGAAGGAACTTGACTCTGCTGCCTCCCACCCAGGACATGTAGGGTCTGTCCATCACGGCCAGCTGGCAGCAGAGGGAGGGGATTCCTGTGGCCTTCAGCCCCAACCCCTGCCTGTGAAGGCACAATTTGGGGGGGACAGGGTGGAAACTGCCGAGCTGGTCACTTTAAAGATTTAGATCTGGGGCCTTGGCATGGTAGCCTAGTGGCTAAAGTCCTTGTTTTGCACATGTCAGGATCCCATATGGGCGCTGATTCTAATTCCAGCAGCCCCACTTCCCATCCAGCTCCCTGCTTGTGGCCTGGGAAAGCAGTCAAGGACTGCCCAAAGCCTTGGAACCCTGCACCCGCGTGGGAGACCCAGAAGAGGTTCCTGGCTCCTGGCTTAGGATTGGCTCAGCTCCAGCCTTTGCGGCCACTTTGGGAGTAAATCAGCGGACATAAGATCTTCCTCTTTGTCTCTCTTTTCTGTATATCTGTCTTTCCAAAAAAAAAAAGTCAGATCTGAGAAAGAGGAAAGACCGCTGGTGCCTGCTGCCCTCTGGTGGGAAGAAGGGGGGGATGCTTGCTGAGTGCTCTTTGGGCAAGTGGGGAGGGAAGTGGAGTCCTGTCTGCCCAAAGCCACCCCCTGCCCCCCACGCACTCAGTGACCTGCTTCATCACATGACTCTGCTTTTTTTCCTTGAGGGTCCCCTAGCAAGGCACAATGACATTTCCTCCCATCCCAGAGAATCTGGAAGCTCCCCCTGTCTCCCCTCCCTAATTGCGCTCAAGAACCTCCCCACCCTTACCACCATCCTAGAGGACAAGGGACAGGGACCTGGCAACTGCTAGACAGCCACACCCACCATGCTGGGGAGGGGCTTGGTGCCAGAAAGGTGGTTTGTGCCATGCAGCAAGGCAGACATAGACCTGAGTGTGTGAAAAGGGCTGGAGGGACAAACCGGGGATGCTCCAAGCTTGCCTTGGGAACCGACCAGCAGAGCCTGCAGGTGGAAAGTCTGGTCCTGGTTTGAGCACCTGGCCAGGCTGTCTCCAGCTCTCCCTCTCCTGGGATGGGGATGGGGTAGCCTAGGGGAACCTTTCCTGTCAGGCACCAAAGGGCCACTGTGGCCAGCCCCAGCTGTGCTAAGTTGGGAGGAATTTGAGGAATTCCATACTCTGAAAGCCTTTTACCCAGCAATTTTCCAGAAAAGGGGAGTGGGAGGGGGGAGATCTGGAGGGTGTATGCTCACAGCCATGAAACACTTCATAAGAACACCGGGGCTTAGTAAGCTAAGCCTCTACCGGAAGCATCAGAATCCCATTTCTGATCGTGGGTGCTCCGCATCTGATCCAGCTCCCTGCTAATGTTCCTGGGAGGGCAGCAGAGCATGGATCAAGAAGTGCTTGGGTCCCTGCACTCATGTGGGAGACTCAGGACAAGCTCCTGGCTCCTGGAACCAGGAGGACTTATCTCTCCTCTCTATATATAACTGGCTTTCCAATAAACATTAATAAATCTTAAAAACTACAATAACAACAGCAACAAACAACTCTCGCTCTCTGAGGCACCTGCTTGGTTCCTCAGGCGTGTGCTCCTCAGGAAACCTTGCCACCTTGTTTTCCACCATTCTCTGTCTGCACTGAAGTCCCTCCCATCAGCCTTCTCCACTAACTCCCATTCTCTCTGGCTGTGAACAGGCAGGTCATGGTGAGGGGCAGGGGGGTAGAGGCAGCAGCGGGGGTGGGGAACATCGTAGTCTGTGCAATCTGGAGAGCTCCAACCCCGGGGACAGGAAGGGCACTACTTTACTACTGGGCTTGCCCTGAGCAAGGCTGGGGGAGAGCTCCTGAGGGGCAGGGCTGGGTAGCCCCTGCCCTGGGATATCCAACAGCCACCCACACACTCCACACTCCCCAGGCCTCTGGAGTAAGCATGATGGGGAGAGACCCCAGGATGTACAGCCACTCCTTGACCTTGAACATCCTCCTCCCTGACCTTCATTTCACAGACTCGCAGAGGGAAAGCCGGTTTCTGTTGCTACCAGCTCTGCCACAATGGCTGGTAGGGTCCTGTGGGCCTGGTTGAAGCTTCAAGATCACCGTCTGCTGTACCCATCGAACATTCGGGCAAATCAAGACAGAGAGACTGGGGTGCTTTTCCCACGCACCTGATGGCAGCCTTCTCCACTACCTCATGCTTCTCATGGCCATTTTACAGGTGAGGCAACTGAGGAGGGGTCAGAAGTGATGTTCTCTGCACAGAGCTGGGGCAGGGATGAGACTCGGTCCTTCTGGCTCTGCTACTCGGCTGGGTCCCTCGCTCAGGACTCCTGCTCAGTGTCTGCCTGCAGGAATGCTGATGGCGTCTTTAATGCATTACAAGGCAAGTCAAGCCAGACAGGCCCAGCTCTGCCTGTGACCTTGGCTCTCTGCAGCCTCTGCCCCCCTTCTCTCTCCAACCCCTGCCACCACCTGCCTTGTGCCAGGCTGGGCTGCCCAGGGTAAAGGGCACTCCCTCCTGCCTCAGCAGACTCCATGTCTCTTCCCTCCCTTTTGGGCTTGGGCAGAGGTCCCGAGAAAGCTGAGAACACAACAGGAGACTCCAGGCTGACCAGGCAGGGCCTTCTAGCCTCACTTGAGTTCAGACCCAGCCTGCTCTCAGCCGCCCCGTTTTGTTCTTCCAGGTAGCTCCTCCCCAGCTTGAGGAGAGTCAAGACCAGCAGCACTCAGACCTGACAGAGCCGAGAGGTGGACCAGCAAACCCAGGCTTTGGGCTCTAGGGGAGGTCCAAGAGAGCCAAAGCACTGGGACCCATCCTCCGGCATCACACACCTGCCACTCCCTCCCTCTCCTCTGCAGATGCACCTGGGCCACTTGGAGAGCCACCGTCTTGGCTTCTGATCAGGTGGGAGGCTTTCTTCCTGTCTCACTAAGGGAGAAACTGAGGCCAGCAGAGGAGCAGAGAGAGAAAGAAGGTGCATCTACCAGCCTGCAGGCAGATGGAGGGCTTCCTGGACTGGGGAAGACCCAGCAGCCACAGGACACCCTTGTTGCTGTGATAAACTGGAAGTCTTGGGGAACTCTGAGTGGCCTGCCCTGAGCCCCTTGAACTTGCCCCCAGGTCTAGACTCAGACCTCCCTCTGCAAGTCCTGGCAGTGTCAGGACACAGTCTTCCTAAGCCCAGGGATGAGTGTTGCTCTTCCATGTTTCAAACCATTAATATTCTACAGATTTTGAGGTAATTGATTCCAGGTTAAATTTTTCTGTTTTGATTCTTCTTCAAATGTTATTCATTCACACGACACGCATTTAATATTCCCGGCTCCATGGTGCTAGATGATCAGGGACAGGGTAGGGAGCAAGAAAGGAAATCCCCCTGTCCTCCCTGCAAGAGGGGATGGAGATCCAGCCATTGCAGCCAGGGCCCCTGGGGTAGCTAGCAGGTTGCCGGCAGCTGTGAGCACCACAGACTTGGTGCTTTGGTGCTTGGGACCGAAATGGCACCAGGTTTCTTGCCAAGGACCCAGCAGCCCCTCCCCTGCGCCAGCCTGGTGCTCCCTGGTCTGGGGACTGCCCAGCTCCTGGGGAAACACAGATGGGAATGTCCCCTGGACACAACATCTGTCTTAGATGGAAGAAGCTGGGGGAGGAAGGCAGGTAAGGAAGGGGTAGGCTCAGGTGAGGCCATGCAGGTAGCAGGGAGCACTGCCTTTCCCTCTGTCTTTGGCTGGACCTGGGTCCATGAACACTGTGGCAAACAACCTAGGGGGTGGTGCATTCTGCCTGGCCACCCACTGCCCGCAGACCACAGTGAAGAGCAATGGAGCTCAGAGCCTGGGGTGCTTCCGGGCCAGCTGCCAGAGCCACTATCCCTGGCCCTCCCAGCCCCAGAGCAGCCCTCCCAGCCCCAGAGCAGCCCTCCCCACTCCCTTTCCCAGGAAGCCCGGCAGAGCAGCCCTCACCTCGAGCCAGGTTCCCGGAGATGAAGCGGAAGAAGAGGCCGATGACGCTGCCCAGCTGCTCCTTGCAGCCCTGCTGGCATTCTCGCAGGCCTGGGCTGGGGGGCTCGCCACGCCCTGCCATCTCAGCCTTGCCCTGTTCCTCCCTCAACCTGCCTCTCTCCCCACCCAGACACAGCAAACACTGTTCTCTTTCTAGAACGTTCCCTCCATGTCTCCTTGCTCCTGTTCTGTCTGCTCTGGGCATCTGTCTGCTTCTCTGGGCTTCTCCAAGGTCAGAGCTCCCATGGGCGGCCAGGTCACTGCTGGTGCCCTGCCTCCTCCAGCAGCTCCCACGGTAGGGTCCTTCACCTCCCACATCCAGGACTCGCTGCTCTGGGAGGTGGACAGGCTCCTGCAGCTGCCCAGGCTGGGAGGGGTCAGCAGGGGTGGGTGCTGCTTCTGTGCTCCCGGCACCAATGGGAGAGGTGCCACTGTCCTGATTCTTGGCTTGGGTGTGATCTCACCGCAGATGGATCACACCCTGATCCCAGGGCGTCTCTGTAGTTGGAGAAGCAGCAGCCTGCTCCCACCTGCTCCCTGACCTTCAAGGCTCTGGGCTGTAGAGCTGTGGGGATGGGCAGGGTCCTGGGCTTCCACTGCCTACTGACCTCTGACCTCTGCTTCCTGACCATCCCCCTCCCGGGCCCTTCTGGCGATTTTCTAGATAGAAAGGGAGACAAGGGGGCACCAGTATAGGACCTCCTCCCCATTTATTCTTCATCTGACAGGTACCAGGCATCTTGTTAAGTCCTTTGGGGCACCACGGAGTATGCTTGGTCACCAGAACACCCCTGCAGCCAGGGTGGCTCTACTCTGGTCAGTGAAATGTAGGCAGGAATCTTCCAGAGGTTTCTGTGAGCGCTGCTTTATCAACACAGGCACTGCCATGCTCCTCCTCCTTTGCCACCCAATCTTTCCTGCTTCTGTGCTGGAATGAGGCCACGACAACCGGAGCCAAAGCAGCTACCTTGCAACCTTGAAGGAAAGGTCAGAACAACTGAAGGTGCTGGCCCTGACATTTTCCAAGCTGCCAAGCTAGGGCCAGCCACTACCCAGATCAGGACTGTCTCACCTAGGAGACAAACACACTTGGGTCTTGGCTAAGCCGCTGGAATTTTCATCATGGGTGAGTGTAGACAAGGTGAAAGAAACATCTCCGCCAAAGCACAAGTCGAACATCGAACTTTCTACTGCTTAATCAGGGCAGGCCCGTAGGTGTTGTGCCTCAGTGCCCTGAGCTGCCAGAGGCTCAGCAGGGTCCACCCCTCAACACCTGCTCCCAGGGTTTGTACCTCTTATTGCTACCACTCTAGGTGAGGGGATACCAGTACCTGGGCTGAACTGGGAATGGAGATTACTGCTCAACCGTCTACACTGCCCACACCACTCACGCTGCTCACACCAAGGGCCTGGCAAGGGTGTCTCCTCACACCGAGGGCCACGTGGTAAATTGATGATGGCTGCGAGCTTCACACCCACACACATGAAGGAGTTGTTGTGCCCTCCTCTCCTGGGGTCTGGTGACTTGTTTTGGCCATCGGAATGCGGTAGGAAGGATCCTGTGTGCCAGTGTAGTACCTGGTTAGGTCCCCAGGGACCTTGCATCTTCCTCCTGTTCCCCACCCCATGTGGAGATCCGCCATCAGGTGAGGGCTCCGCGTGCCAGAGAACGACCAGGGTGCCTGGGCAGCCACGTAGAGAGATGGCTCCTGAGATGGTGGCACACGCTGCCCCTGCTGGCCTAGCCCACTGCTAAGGAACAGTATGGGGGAGGCTGCCCAACATTCATGGAATTGAGAGGAGGAAATCATGGCTGTTTCACGGCACTGCATGGTGGGGATAACAGAGGCGACCCCGATGACGCTGCATGGTGGAGATAACAGAGGTTACCCAGATGACGCTGCATGGTGGGGATAACAGAGGCGACCCGGATGACGCTGCATGGTGGGGATAACAGAGGTGACCCAGATGTTGTTCCCTCCACCTGGAGGTTGGGCTGGGAGCAACTCTTTCTGGAGAAAGCCTCTTCCCCAATTCTTTCTCCCAACTCCAACTGTGTGGTTCTCTCTCTCTCTCTCTCTCTCTTTTATTCTTCGCCCCACCCCACCACTCCTTGAAAGGCAGTTTACACAGACAGAGGGAGAGAGAGACATAGCTTTCATCTCTTGGTTCACTCCCCAGATGGTCACAAGAGTTAAAGTTGAGTCAAGGCAAAGCCAGGAGGCAGGAGCTTCATCCGGGTCTCCCATGTGGTGCAGGGATCATCCTCTGCTGCTTTTCCCAGGCCATTAACGGGAATGCTAGTGTCTCAGGTGGTGGATTTACCCGCTATCCCACAGAGCCAACTCCCAGCTGTTCATTTCCTATACTTCTGAGAAGGGGAGAAGTTTTAACAGCCATGTAATCAACTTTCGCATAATTCCTTGAAAATCTGAATATGGTCTGACAACTGTCTTGGCAACATGATGTCCATGTTGGTGCTTCAACACATTACAATTCTCTCAATACAGTCACCCCTCAGGAGCCTTAAGGGGTTGCTGCCAGGACCCACAGAGAGATCAAGTCCCTTGTATCAAGCAGTGTAAGGGGTGGGCGCCTGGCTTAGCAGCTAGGGTGCCCTCATTTCATTCTGGAAAATGTGGCTTCAATAGCTGGCTCCAGCACTTGACTCCAGCTTCCTGCTAATGCATTTCTGGAAGGCAGCGGGGGAATGGCTCAAGGAGTTGAGTTCCTGTTGCTCATGTGGGGAAGCCTGGATCGAGTTCCTGGCTCCCAGCTTTGGCCTCACCCAACCCCAGCTGTTAGAGGCATGGGGAAGAATCAAACAGCAAGCAGATGGGGACTTTTGCTGTTTCTTGGTTTCTGCTTGTCTCTCAAACTTGTTTGGCTAAACAGGAGCAGTGTTTTCATCCAGTCTACTCAATGTACCTGAATCATCTCTGGGTGATTTGTAAGGCCTCATACAATGTCCATTCTGTGTACTTTGTTGTGACACTGTGTTGGGAGAAATAGAAAGGAAAAAAAAGCCTGCGCAGGGTCAGTACAGACACTTTTTTTTAAAATGAACAGTTTTGGTTCCTAGTTGGTTGAATCCAAGGATGTAGAATCTGTAGCTTTGGAGGGCAAAGAATGCTCATGTATCCTTCGGCATTGGGTCCCCCTCTCCCCATGTCCACAACCCTCTGCCACCACTTCTTGTCAGATATGCTGCTGGTGGCAGCCACAGCCTCATGATTTCTCACGTGATCATGTCATCTGAGTAGCTCCCAGAGTGGAAGCCAGCAGGGTTCATGGGGTGCTGGGTCTCCACTCTGGGACACGGACAGGAATGACTGAGAAACAGATTTTATGTCACACAGAAGCATGTGGCTGCTGTCCCAGTGTCCCTGCCAGAGCAGCCAGGAAGTGAGGCCCTCCCCATGTGGCAGGTGCAACCCTAGCTTTGGCATACCAGGGCCACCATTTTCTGGTTATCCCCTAGCTTCTGCGAACTCCCTGAGGCCTGGAGCCACTGTGTCTCTACTTAACCCTAGGCAACCTGGATTCTGTCACCCACAGCTAGGACCCCAGGTTATCCATGGTATCGTTAGTCCAGCCTGACAGTCCCAGCGTGGAGTTAGTCTGGACTCAAGGCTTTGGCCCTGCCCCGGGACACACAACCAGCCAGGACGGCCCAAGATGATGGTTGAGAAATGTTGCTAAGTCTCAACCTCTGGGTCATTCAGGAGAGTCCCCCAGGTTTCCTGTGAGGAGGGGCCTCCTACTGAGGGGTGGGGGATATCAGTCCATGTTGCCTGTCTTATAAATACTACCACCTGGGCCCACGCATCCTAGAGGCCACCACTGCTGGATATCTCCCAGCTCTATTCTGGAGTCTTGGCAGTCCAGGGTACAAGCAGCTGGCTCAGCCCTGGCATCTCCTGCCCACTCCTTGCCAAGCTTCCATCCGTTGGGCCCTGGCTTCCGCTCCCAGCTGTCCCAGGCATGTGTCTCCCTGGCCCCACTGCTGCCGGCTGAAAAAAATCCCAACAACAAGGGCACGGTGTGTGGGCTTCCCAGCTGCCAAAAGCTCCCAGGCACCCAGGGTGCCCACTGGGGCCCGCTGGGCACGTGCCCGGAACTGCTGTGAATGGCGCCCATTGTCCTGGGTAGCTCAGCCTCCGGAGCTTCCTTGCTCTGCACTGGGTAGTGTTTCTCACATGCACACACTCCTGGGAGAGACAGCGCTGCCACATGAGGAGACCAGCTGTGGGAGCCCAGGCTGAGGGGGACCGGGGCGTCATTCTTGGTGCCTCACACCATGAGGTCCCAGGGCTCCCTGGGGACATCCAGGCCAGATGGGTCCTCCAATTCAGGGCCCAGCTGGAGGCCCAATACCCTCCCGCCCCCCCCCCCATTCCACCTACTACTGAGTACGGTACCTCTCCTGCTAACCCCCGTGGAGTCTTCAGTAGTTCAGGATGATGAGCTCGGCATTGTCTACCTCACACCTTTGTCTGGGGTCTCACCATGCCACTTTACCTGTGGGCTCCCAATGCCTGCATGGAGCCTGGTGACCCTGTCCTTGTCCCTGCCCCTTGTGTTCTACTGTGTGCCCTGGACTTGCTGGCAGACTGCCTAGTGGTAGAGGACCCACTGTGGAGAGGTGGTGGCCTGCAGCAGATGCCCCCACTGGAGCTGGGCAGAGCCCTTTGCAGTGGCTGTGAACACACCATGCCCTCCTTGGGCTCATTGGGCTTGACGGCTGCCATCTCGGGCTGCCATCACAGATGTGCTGCAAGCCTCACTGTCAGCCCCTCACGTGGAGCCGGAGCAGCTGCAGGATCCGCGGTGGGGGTGGGGAATAGGGGGACAACAGGGGCGGGTGTCTGCTTCCAACTCCTTTTGAATACCTGCTTTACCACCAGGAAAACCCAGAAAGACTAGGCAAGTCACAAATGATGTGAATCTCCAGGTGCCACATTTGAGCCTTCTCTGGCTCACCTGCGCTCTTGGCTCCTGCTGCTGCTGACTTGCTGTCCTGCTGCAGAGAGGGGAGCTTAGCCCAGGGGCCTCCTTCCCACGGATGGACGCTGTTTGTAGGTGCACTTAGGTGTTTCTGCCACACCCCACCCCTACTCCTTACCAAGTAAAGTTTGTGGGACACCTATAGGTTCATCCACACGTGCTAGCACTTCCATGGAAAAGCAAGGGAACCGTTGCTGCCCAGGGAGTTGGAGAGACAGAGGCTGAGCAAGAGAACTCCCAGGGTGGGATTGGCAGGTAAAGGACAAGAACCTGGCAAGCAGCTGTTGGGTTCCCTCGTGCACAGGCCTGGGCCACTGCACGTAGCTGCCAGCCACTGGGCCACTCAGGCCATCTCCTCCATGCATGACACCTTGGAAGCCTGGAACCCCTGTTGCATCCTGGTGCCTGAGGTTCCCTGGAAGTCACACTGTGAGAGAGGGTCCAGGGCCAAAAGCCAGATGCAGTGAGTGGTCAAGGTCAAGTGTGTGCCTTTCCTGAAGGTCAAAGAGGCAGATAGATGCTCAGCAGCCATCAGCAGCTTCTACCTGAGCTGTCTGCCCACGACTTCCTGTGTTCAGTACATCTACCTTGGCTCACGCTTGCCTTTGCTGCATTCTTTATAATACCGCCCACGGCGCCAGCCTCAATCGGTCACTTCCTGAGATGTTTTTTTCTTTTCTTTTTTTAAAAAAGGCAGTTCCTTCTACATGCCTGGCACATGATCACACGATTGCATGTGCCTGCATGTGAGCACAAAAGTATACACGGTGTACAAGTGTGCTTGGCATGTTTGTGTTGGACACGCGGACATGTGTGCACAGGTGTGGGAGGTGTGCATCTGAGTGAAATCATGGGGACCGTGTGAGGCCACCCCTGCCTCTCCTGCTCTGTCATCCTCAAACATTGCCAAGAGGAAGCGCGTGGCAGCCATATTTACCAGGTCCCCTCCTCCTCTCCAGAACACCCTAAAATATCTACACTGGCTCCAGGAGGGGCTGATGGCGGGGCCTGCTTCTCACCAGGCTCCTGCCCACATCAGGTCTGGCTTTGGGTATGTTCTGTGGGTGGACTTGGTCCCCTCTTTGCACAGAGGCCCCTTAGCGGGGGAGTGGGTACAGGGGATAGGGTAGGGTCTGGTTGCCCTACCTGTTCCTTGTATACTTAACTCCCTGGCAGGGTAGGCAGACGCAGTTAACCCAGGCTAGGGCTCCTAAAACACAGATAGCCCCCCATGATGCCCCCCATTCATACACACACACACACACACACACACACCACACCCCGCAGCCCTTCCTTACCTGAGCCCTGTGGCGCTGCGCTAGACAGGATCCACTTGACCAAGCAGCAGCGCATGAAGGCCTGGCGAGTGAGCCGCGGCCTCTGCCACTTGACTCCCTCCTTCTTGCGCAGTGGTGTGCGCCCTGGGTCGCCCAGGAGGCTGCCGTCTGCCGCCTTCATGGCCTCCTGCAATGGAAAACAGACAAGTTGCCCTGAGCTCTTGTTCCCATGGGTCACCTTTGGGCCGACCGCAGCTGCCCGGATGGGTGTCTCAGCCTCCGGACATCCCAGGAGAGACTAGCCTTAAGCCACCTGGGGGCTCACATTCCAGGAGCGCTTACTAGGACCACTAGGCCTGGCTGGGAGATTCCCAGAACTCTGCAGCCCTGAGGCATTGCTGTACCTCATCCATGGGTTCCTCCCGTCTGCACCTGACCTTGGCTTATGATGGGGGCCCTTAGAAGGAGCGTCATAAGGGGTCCAGAGAGGAGAGTTCTGAGGTGAGCCTGGACTTGCTTGGTCCTTTACCACAACCATCCAGTTCTCCCTTTGTTGGAACCCAGAGAGAGAATGGAAACGCACAGCAGTACCCCCCAGGGGCCTCTATACTGCCTATTTTTACTCTGGGAGAGCTTGCAGGTGAGTGACAAGCCAGATGACCACCCAGGAGGGCCACAGCTATGGAAGCCACCATCCCAGCCCTGCAGAAACTCTGGGGCCTGAGGGAAACAGGTGGGAGCAGGAGGTGGAAGAGGAGGTGGGAGCAGGGCCAGTGTGGGTGAAGAGAGGGCAGCCTGGGGCTACGGCCCCAGAGGCAGGAGGTTTGTGTCTTCCTACAATAGTGTTTGGTGTCCCCCTCAATTTTGGCACCTAAACAGCTTGCCATCTTCCATGCCTGAGGAGCTGGTGCCAGGGTCACCTCTTGCTGGCAGGGACTGGGAGAGGCTGATCCTTTGTGTTGTAGCCCCCACTCAGTTCCAGCTGGGGGAGGAGCCAGCACCCTCTTTAAGGGCACCATTCTGAGTTGTTGAGTTTGTTGGCCATCAGGGTGGGCCACTAGGTTGGAGAGCTGGCCATGGACACTCCATGGTTGTGAGTTTTTCACATGTGCCACTTCGGTACAGTCCTGCAAGGTGTGTGACTAGAGGGAAAACCAGACAGGGCATCGTTCAGGTTCTGCAGGCACAGCACTCCAGGGCAGCTCTGTCTCTAGCAGGCTGCCAGGTGCAAGGGACCTGAGACTGGCCCAGACAGACTTCCCCAGGACAGGAAACTTCAGCAGAGAGCAGCAGCCAGCAGTACTTCCTGGAAAGGCCTGGGAGCCAGGCTCAGGGACAGAGCAAGGAGGAAAGTGGGCCTGGCAGACCTGGGCAGGTCCACATGTCACTCATCCCCCACTCCCAACCACTGCTGGATGTCACTGGCCCCAATCCTAGGGGCATTGGACCTGCAACCCCCACTGACGGCCTGAGTAACCCAGAGTGGGGCCACTGTATCCTTCCCTAGTAGGGTCACAATTGACACCCCCACCTCCTCCACAAACACCCCCACATTCTTCCTCTTCTCCAAGGCTGTCCCCAGAGGTGAGAAATGGGGCCCAGAGCTGCTGCAAAGGGTGGGTCATACAAGGGGGAGAGCCAGGTTGGGCACGTGTGAAGGAGGCAGAGGGAAGCCCCTACACTCATCTACTCTACACATGCACACACACGTGGGTACGCATGCACGCATATATGCACGCCCACGAACACGTGCTGCCCAAGCTGGGTCAGAAAGGGGCCTCTTCCATTATTAAAGAGCTTATTCCGGAGAGAAAGGGCCTGAATGAATAAAGCCTTTATTTCGGGTGAGGAGCAGGGAGGGGTGGCGGGCAGCTGGGACTTTGTTATCTCGTGTATTCTCTGCGGGCTCCACGTGCAGGGTCAGCAGACACCTGTCCAGAGGAGACCCTGAGGCAAGCCCAGGAGCCTCTGGTGAGAGCTCAGCAATGGGAGACTGTCCCACCAGGACGGTGCCGGTGCCCAATGCAAGGGATGCTCTGGCCCATGACTGGTGTGGGAGCGACCCTACCTGAGTTCTGCTATGAGATGCCTCAAATGCGGCTGTTTGGGGCCACAAGTCCAGGAGGCAGGCGACACCACCGTCATCTCCCAGGTACAGGAATCAAGTTCCTGAGAAGTCTGGGAGAGGCCAGGGCCAGGGCCCATGTGTGGAGGTCTCAGCCATGGCATTGCTCAGCCTGGGTCACTGAAAGGGAAAAGTTGGGGGTTGGGGGGATGAAGGAGTGGCAGTCGCCATGTCACTGCTGTGCCCAAAGTAACCGTTACTCCATGTCCTGCTGTTTTCCTGGACTGAGGGCTTCTCCCTGGTGAGGAAGGCAAGGAGGGACTCCTGGACCTGGAAGAAGGTCCAGGATCCCATCTGCGAACACCAGGAGACAGCTTTGTGTCCACCGGATTCCGAAGTTGGAGCCGGGGTAGGAGGCCACAGAAGCTGGGCTGGGGCAGGCAGAGAGGGAGGGTGGAGGGGGCAGGTCACACTCATGAATATTTGACACATGTCTGTCTGGGAGAGGGTCTGGTTGAGCTGTCAGGGAACATTAAATCAGCCTGCAGGGCAGCCAGCATCACCCAGCATGGAGAGCCAGGAGCCCCAAGGGGCAGCCCTGTGGCCTTGCCCATGTGAGGGGTGACCCGGTGATGACCCAGTCCCAGCCTGACCATGCCAGTCCCATCTCACCTGCATCTCTCCCCCAGCCACACGCACAGTGCTGAGGGCCTGCTGCTCCTCCTGGAATGAAGCTTGTCAAGGACCGTGGGATATTTATGAGCTCATTCTCAGGCCACACAGAATGATCAGCATGGAAATGAGGAATTTTGCAGGACTCACACAGCCAGAAGGCACACTCTTGACACACTGTTTGGGGTCACAAGTCAAAGGTTCGCTAAGGGGACAGTTCCCGGGACACCCCTTTCCTTGACCCTATCTTCCCATACCCTATTTGTCTCTCAGCCCCTATCCTGTTCCTCTGGCACATTTCCTGCCTCCCCACCAACCCTGCTCTCTGCCCCCTAATGTCAATCCTAAGAGTGTTAGCCCCAGGGCTCGGCACAGTAGCCTAGTAGTTAAAGTCCTCACCTTGCAAGTGCCAGGGTCCCATATTGACACTGGTTCATGTCCTGGCAGCCCTGTCTCCCATACAGCTCCCTGCTTGTGGCCTGGGAAAGCAGTTAAGGATGGTCCAAAGCCTTGGGACCATGTACCCGTGAGAGACCCGGAAGAGGCTCCGTGCTCTTGGTGTCAGATCAGTTCAGCTCCAGCCATTGCAGCCACTTGGAGAATGAATGAGCAGGCGGAAGATCTTCCTCTCTGTATATCTGACTTTCCAATAAAAATAAATAAGTCTTTAAAGAAGAAAGAGAGAGAGTTGGCCCTGGCTCCTGGGTGCCTAACTCCTGAAACACCTTCACCCCCAAACGTAATAGTGAGCAAAGAACCCATTCTGTTTGAAAGCAGGTGAGAGCCGCACACAGGTGGCAAGCAAGCGGGTGGACAAATGCTCAACCCATCAGCCACCAAGGTGTGCTAATGAGACTTGTGTCGTGAGCAGCCATGACGAGTCATCCAAATGGCTAGAATAGACAGCAGTGACAACACCAACTAGGGGTGAGGACAAGGCCCAACGGCAGACCTGCTCGTTGCCAATGGGTAAGCAAAATGCCACGGCCACGCCTGAGAACGGCTGGCAGCTTCTTACAAAAAATAACACGGACGACTCCCACACAATCGCTGTCACGGGGCTTGAGCCCAGAGAAAGGAGGAGCTGTGTTTGCACACAGCAGCCTGTTCAGGAGTGCTCACAGCACTTTCTTTGTAACAGCCTGATGACCTTCAGCGGGTGATTGGTCAAGCAGGCCGCCCTGCAGCAGAGCCGCGGAATTCCAAGCCATGAAAGGAAACGAGCAGCTGACGCTCCCAACCTGGCTGTGAAGCCAGCCAGTGCTCGGAGGTCACCTGGTGCTCTGTGGTGCAGTTTACAGAGCCTTTCAGAATGACCACATTTTTGGAGACCAGATCATAGGGCAGGAAGGAGGCAGGGGACTGGGGTTTGGCTGGGCAGTTGCCTTGGTGGTGACACAGTCTCATTGTGCCCAGGCTCCTCCACACTGGGCTCTGCCTCCGGATCCCCACCTCTTGCTGATGGGGACATTGGGAACCAGCAATCATGGTTGAAGTAAATGGCTCCCTGCCACCCACAGGGGAGACCCAAATTGAGTTTTAGCTGCTGCCTTTGGCCTCGGGTCTGGGAAAGCAGGGTCATGGTGCCAGCATCCCATGTGGGTGTCAGCTTAAGTCCTGGCTGTTCCATTTCTGATCCAACTTCCTGCTTATAGTCTGGGAAATCAGCACAAGATGGCTCAAGTCCTTGGGTCCCCTGAACCCATATGGGAGCCCTGGGGGAGTCTCCTGGCTCAAGGCTGTGGATCAGCTCAGCTTTCCAAGTGCTACTGATCCATGGGGTGGGGGAGTGATAGAAAGGGAACTACATGGAAAATGTACCTGCTGTGCACCCTCACCGAGTTAAGTGTTTGGAGAACTTGTCTTATCTATGCTCACTCCAACCATAAAAGGGTCCTAAAAACACCGAGTCACCCAACTGAATCCCACGGCCTCCTCTGACCTGGCCAGACCCCCTTTGGTTTGTGTTCCCCCTCCTTCCAAAGGAGAGACAGCCACGATTTGTTCTGGTGGCTGTGAGGTAGAGGTCTCTGACACCAGGGGGCCATATCTCTGTGCTAGAAGTCAGTTAGACTCTGGTTGCCCATAGCACCCCGCTAACTCCCTGTAACCCCAAGCTCAGAAAAGGGAGGGTGTGGCCTCCATCCAGAGCCTCTGACAGGTGGCACACTTGGGGCGTGGGATTGAATACTGTTGTTTCCACTTCCATAACTTTGTTGTAATGACTTCAGCAAGTGGCACTGTGGACTCTCCATTTACAAACCGACTGGAAGGTTACTCTTTAAATCGATTTATTAAGACACAAAATGCTAGGTGTTTTAAAGAAAATGTTAAAACCAACAGCACAGCTTGAGACAGGTGAGAGTGAGCACCAATGGACCAGAAAGTTTGTCTTTCTCCTCCTGAGCATGGCCGATGGAGGCTGAGGTACCTGCCGCGCTCAGCAGGCC